TCGGCTCGATTGCCATCACTACCAAGACATCTGCTAAGAAGAATGAAACTTGAATTTCCGTCCATTTTAATTTCTATTTTCCTTTTTGGGTGTTGACCAGACAACATTTCAACAGTAGAGTTTGGTCTTTGATGTTGATAATGAAAAGTTTGTGTTCTGTAATCACAGTGTACGTAGTAATTTTTTGTGTGGCTTTTGTTATCGTAAACATGGCGTATATAGATGGGAAGAATTATACAATATTATCTCAAAAATAACTTTGTTCAACTTGTATCTATTTTGCGTCTATTTAAGTCTCATTTTTGTCCAAAATGTATTTTAGAATAGTATTTTGACGAATAATATGTGATTAAGAATTAAGAAAAATTATTTTACTGAAAAATGTGTGGTTGAAAATAAGAGAGAAAAATATATTTTAAAAATAATGTTGACCGATTAAGTTGCGGATATCGTTACCAACAATCATCATCATCATGAATAGTTTTGAAGTTTGGCATTTAGGCCCTATTTGATTTGACAATTTTTCCATGGAACTTGGAAATGAAATTCCATCTTCCACCAAAAGTCTTGTTTGATTGGGAAAATTTTCTTGACAATTCATTTTCCATCTTTTGCCTCACACAATTCCAATTCCATAGTTATATTCCTAATTTTAACAAATTATATCTATTTAATGGATAATTTTCATCTAAAATAAAGTCAAATGAACACCAAAAGATCCAAAATTTCAATATTTTCCACGTGGAAAATTATACTAATCAAGTACAATTAATTGACAATTTTCAGGAAAACAATTCTAGGCAATTCAATTCCCTAAAATTCATTTTCTTTCCACCCAAATTTCACTCTTGCAATCAAACGGACATTTAACAGCAAACACTTGCTACTATTGTATCTTAATTTAAAACGCAAATTTGAATTTCAAAAGAATGTCAAAGGCCGTGAAATCCAAAAATAGAAATAATACGAATATGTAACTAAAATAATATCATTTATCTCCGGTTATTTATAGGAGTTTTTAATTTATAATTCTTATATTTCTCTCACCTTAGGTATATTCACTTTGTAATTCTTTGATATTTGGAGTGTGTTTGGGAGAAATTTTCCCAAACCAAAATCAATTTTTGGGTCACATCAGGCGGTCCCACTTTTCGCCACCATTTGAAGTATTGGTGAGAATTTGAACACAAAAAGACAATTTTTTTTTTTTCCTTTGTTAGGAAAAACTTTTTTAGGAAACAATTTTTTTTCTTTTTTTTTTTTTCTTTTTACTTTTTGGCAATAGAAACAAATTTTATAACTAATTGTGGAAAAAAATCACTTTAATGGATAATTTTCATGTAAAACAAAGTCAAACGAATAGAAAATTTAAAAATTTTTCGGGTGGAAAATTATACCAATTAAACACACTTGAAATCATTTTCCCTACAAAACATTTTCTAGACAAATTTTTTCTCTGTAAAACATTTTTTTTCCACCGCTGCAATCAAACGTACCCTAAGTATTCTTAAATGATTGAACATATCAACCTAGAACGAATAGTGTCTTTCAACCTTACTGAGAGCTTATTTAGTAGAGATTAAAATCGAATTAAAGTTGAAAAATTAGTTGCTGTTATTGACTTTTATTAGATCGATGAAATTCAATAACGATTATATTTTTAATTTTAATTGAATTAAAATCCCTCACAAACAAGCTCTAAGTCTAAAGTTCATTAATTATTCTTAGATGATTGAACGACTAGACCTAGGACGTGTAATCCTGTTATTTAAAATATCTAATCATTAAACATCTAGATTGAACACAAGCATTATTGATATCAAATAACGTTATTCGTCTACGTCTCATTCAACTGGCCCACAAAACTCTATCAACGGTCAAGATTCATCTGATCCAATTAAAATCAACTGTTACATCATCTCAAAAGTCGAAACAATCACGAAGAGTAATTAAAAATATCTCATCCTTATCCAATGACTACTGAAACTCGTCTTCTTTATAAAGAAACTCGAACGGCGAGCGTTTTTCCTCATAATGCCTTTTTATCTGAAAATCAATTAACAGAAAAAAAAAAAAGAAAGAAAAAAGGGAAAAGATGATACAAACAGTGCCCTTTAGTTCTTCATCTTTAAGAAGTTTTCTTGAAATTAATGGCGCTATTAATCGTTCAAGAAGTGGTTTGAATCCCAGAATTCATTGTTCTTCAAGAAGCAATGTTTATATACCAAAGCTGGAGCCATTCAGCAGAAGCAAAATTGATAGAGCTGTTAAAGAACCCCCTTTGATTCAAAAATCAGAAACCCAAGTCGCAGGCAAGTTTTTTTTATTCATACTGTTAGAGAATGTTACATATATTTCCTTTCAAGAATCTTTTATAGCTAACTACGTAATTAAGTGAATTTCCATTTTGTTTAATTAATTAATTTTTTTATTTTTTTTGGGTTTTAGATTACTGTTCAACGCTTGAAGGGGATGATTCTTATAGCTGCTGGAGGGCCTACTTTGAGCTCAAAGAACTTGAAGTAAGTTCTAAACTTGGGTCTTTTCGAATTTTTTTACGCCCCACAAATAAATTTTCTTGAATGATTTCTTTTGCAAATTCTTGCAATAAATTTATGGCTTGTTTGATAGAGAAATAATTCAATGGGACACCGACTGGGTCGGGTACAAGGTATCGACGAGTGGGGAATTGACGAGGTGTGAACTAAAGCTATATTTATGGCTTTTTGGAATAGATTACGCGAAAAGTGATTTTTTTAGAACTTGTAGTTAAAAAGTAAGGAAAAATTATGGGCAAGATAATTTGTTGCTAAAAATTAAGTTTTGAAAAAAAATGAGTTTTAAAGTATATTGTACCAAACATGAGCTTAATGATGTGCATTCTGCCTCGAGACAAGAAAGTTTTGTTGTGCTTGAAAGTTACTTTTTCATGTTTAATGTAACTCCAAGAAAAGTAACCCGTGATCGATTGAACGAAAAAGAAGTTAAAATCTAGTTATATCTAATGTGTGTTGGCAATTATGATATTATTCAGGAAGAGGCCCCAAAGGAGGAGTTAGAGAGACTAATTATTGAAGCTGGTGGTGTAAAATCACTGGTTGGATGTGTACATGGAATTGCAGCAATACACAAAGCGAAGAAGGAATGCAAGGAGTCAATGAAGAACTTGTCTGCAGAGAATACAAGCCCCGTTCCTTGTCCGATTCCAGACGGGTTGCCCAAGACGTTTGAAGAGCTCGAGGAAGAGGAGAAAGCCAGAATGCCGGATTCGCCTTTCACAAGATTGCTTAGAGCCAGAGGACGATCCCCAGCTTGGTATTCACCGGCGCCTGATCACGAGACAGACTGATGATGATGATGATTATTGACTTATTGTTGTTCATCATCCTACTTGAAATGTACCTAGTAGAAGATTATGATGGTGTAAATTGGATTGTGAGTACTATGACACGAAATTAATATGTTTATGCATAAAAGGTGCGGTGTGTCTTACTGAAAGTTGAATAGCAGTACTATAAGAATCGATACTGAACATCCCTCTTGTACCCTCGTTTTTGTTATACACATTGATTGTTTTGAGCTGAAGGACAAGTTTGCGTATCAAACTGCGCTTTTGGCAGGGAACTTGCCAAGGCTTCTCAATCAAGTATCTACTCATTAACGAATAAAAGAGACTCCAAACCAGTCGAAGCTTTTCTATAGCATTTTTGATATCTTGGCAATCGCATTGTTTTAGCAAATGAGAATACGTTGAGGGTGTAAATTGTAATGTATCGAGATGTCTGAAAATGTGTTGACGGCTTCTCATCTAAATTGAGGGACAACCAAGTAGACAAGTTTGAGACCATCTCGACTCTTCGACCAATGCCACCCCCACCACGCACCCAACTACAAAATGTGTACTGTAATTTTGCAAACGAAGCCGGGCAGAGGTGCCATGAGAAGGAAATAACATTCATAACCAAATATTTGACTCAAAAGCATGTTCATGCTGGATTCTCACTATTATATTTATAACGTTAAAGTTCAAATACTTGTCAAAATATATTAATATTTGACGTACCAGTACTATTTTTACATGTTGGGATAAATGATCGATTTAAGACTATTTTTAGCATGTTCTCATGATGTTCCATGGAGAAAAACTTGCCTAAATCCAAGCAGAGACCACAAATTTTGTGTCTGAAATTTGTTAGAGCCCTCCAAATCCGCAGAAGTTTCGTTGTTTCGTCATATAACACCCTCGTTTCTTCTCGCAGATGATAACTATAAGCAGCCTTGGGTTGTCCAAGGGGGTTAATCATGGCTAACCCTTCCAAAATGAAAGTCTTGGGCTGCTTTCTCTTCATTTCCCTTTTATTTTTCTCGTCCTTATCTTTGGCTTTAACCGATGCTGAGGCGGCTTATATTGCCCGTCGTCAGCTTTTGCATCACCAGGATGATGATAGCCTTCCTAATGAATCCAAATATGAGATTGATACTCGTTTAACATTTGTCAATCCAAGGCTCAAGAAAGCGTACATTGCGCTACATGCGTTGAAAAAAGCTATTTATTCAGATCCACAAAACTTTACTGCTAATTGGGAGGGTCCTAATGTGTGTGCCTACAATGGTGTGTTTTGTGCACAAGCGCTCGATGATCCCAAACAGACTGTCGTTGCTGGGGTCGATTTGAACCATGCGGACATTGCAGGATACCTACCCATTGAGATTGGGCACTTGGCGGACAGTAGCCTTCTCCATCTTAATTCGAATAGGTTTTGTGGGATCATTCCAAAAAGCATCGTGAAGCTGAACCTTCTCTTTGAACTCGATGTTAGCAATAATCGTTTTGTTGGACCATTCCCCGAGGTTGTCTTGGAGTTACCATCGCTGAAATACCTTGATCTCAGGTACAATGATTTTGAAGGACCATTGCCATCCCAACTCTTCAATAAGGACCTTGACGCACTCTTCTTGAACAACAACCGATTCCACTCCATCATCCCTAAAAATTTAGGCAATTCCACAGTTTCAGTACTGGTTTTGTCGAACAACAAATTTCACGGTTGTATTCCAAAGAGCATTGGCAATATGGCAAACACATTGAATGAACTACTTCTGTCAAACAATGAACTCTCGGGTTGTTTGCCTGAAGAAATTACACTCTTGAAGAGCGCCACAGTTTTCGACATTAGCAATAACAAGTTTGTTGGAGACCTACCAGTAGGCCTCGAATACTTGCAGAGTGTGGAAGCGTTCGATGCTGGACACAATGTGTTGAAAGGAAAGGTCCCGGAAAGTCTTTGCAGCCTACCAAATTTGCAAAATCTAACATTTTCTAACAACTTTTTCGAGGCTAGAGATGATGTTTGTGAACCTAAAGCAATTCAGGGCCTTGTCGTAGATGATACAAGCAATTGTTTTGCCAATTTGCCGCACCAGAGATCGGCTAAGGTTTGTTGGTCTGCATTGAAGAAGCCTGTGGATTGCAGCAAAGAAGGATGCAGGAGTTCGCCACCGGAATCTGGTCCAAAGGAGCCACCCAAACATACTCCTGTAAAACCAAACCCCAAGCCTGTATCTCCACCACGATCGAAGCTAACACCACCACCTAAGGCTGTGCCATTTCCATCTCCTCCATCACTAAAACCATCTCCCACAACCCCGTTGACACCAAAACCACAACCACCAAAGCCTAAACCAACTCCAACTCCATCAGTTCCTATACCTAAACCTACACCAACACCTAGTCCTAAACCAAAACAGCCACCAGTATCAATTCCAACTATACCAGTCCCTCCATCTGTGAAGACTCCACAACCACCAAAGGCTTTTGTTCAACCTCCAAGTGTCAAACCACCAGTCTCATCCCCTCCAGTACATTCACCACCACCACCAGTTTCATCCCCACCACCAAAGCACTCACTTCCGCCACCAATTTTCTCTCCAACACCACCTATCCAGTCACCTCCCCCACCACCCAAGCGCTCGTCACCACCACCGCCTACAGTATTCTCTCCACCACCACCCGTCCAATCACCTCCCCCACCACCCAAGCGCTCACCACCACCTATCCACTCACCTCCCCCACCACCCAAGAGCTCGCCACCACCTCCAA